CAAGCAGCATCAGAGGGGCAGGCAGGCTGACGTTTCGGCCTAGACCCTTCTTCAGAAAAGGGTCTAGGCCCGAAACATCAGCCTTCCTGCTCCTCTGATGCTGCTTGGCCTACTGTGTTCATCCAGCTCTACACCTTGTTATCTCAGATTCTCCAGCATCTGCAGTTCCTACTATCTCTACGACTACAGCAACACCCATATCCCATAAATGATTCTTTTCAAACAAAAACCTACCTAGATTATCACCAAACTGCCCAACACACCATCCAAAATGCAATTAACTGTATCCAAAGCAGACATGTTAACACTGTCATTAGTAAACTACATGTAGTTATATCTTTGCCAAGCTAATAAATAAAACTTATCTTCAAATGAACCAAGTTGCTGCATTTAGTAAACACCATCAACACTTGACATTATCTTAAAGAGCCAAGAACAGTTTTATGTAAGGCTGTGACAGAATAGGTAGACACAATCGTTTCAGTGGTGAGAATAAAGCAAAAAAAAAGTTATACGTCACCAAGAAATCAATCAAGAAATGCTGAATAAGCCTCCTCACCCAGCGGGTGGGGAAGAATGTGAAGGTCCCACAGTGAGTACTTGAGACCTGCGGTATTCATTTAGATGGTAGTTGAGTAAATTAGGAGGGAGAGAGAGGTTTTGCTGCCAGTCTTTTATGAGGACGAACGGGAGAAATGTCAACATGAACTGTTTGGGCCGAACAGCCTGTTTCTGTGACTGTACGAACAATCTAATTCTGTGCAAAACCAACAAAAGATTGCATTGGAACATAACCGTTCAATAAATATGCAGTTCGCCAACAACTTTTAATGTTCTATTTCAAAACTCTTAAGATAATTACGGGATTGTCTCTAGCTTCCGTGAGAAGTAGGGATGGTTGCCGTAGTTTCAATATTCAGGGTATAATCAGTTCTTGCCAAGTGCTATTGAACTGTTGGTCTCTGCAGAATTCGATACTCTGAGATCGAACGAGTGACAATAAAGAATGTGGAATGCTCCCTCCACCTGCAGAGGTACAAAGGCTAATCTCCTGTCGCTGCAGGGCTAATGAAGCAGCAGCAAAATTAAACTTCCCTTCATCCAACCTCCGTCTTCACTAGAGGATTCAGGGGAAATAATTAGACCGGATTGAAACAGTCACGGGTGCCTTGAAAGCTCCCGGGGACCCATTGTCCACGCTTCATTATTGACACCTCGGCGAGCTGTTTTAATTTAAACTAACACGGCGCTTTAAAAGACCAAATTACGAAAGGGTACGCTCACAAAACAAGATGAAATGCATTATAAATCAGTATCCAATTGACTCGTTACGTGCAACTGACTGAAGTCATCCTGATGTGGGGGGAAAAATGTTTCCGGAACAGTAAGTTTATAAAAATATTGCTGGGAGTGAAGTTGCTAATTGAACAATGTTGTATAGACACGAAACTCCTACATATATTACGACAGAAAATAGCAACTCGGTGCCAAGTTATTTCTGTAATTTAATATACACGGACTGGGAATGCATTAATGTTGTTGTTAGTGTAATGACGGTTGTTTCAAAGCGGGCTAAAGATTAGACGAAACTTGATTTTTCTAAGTTACCATTACACACAAGTGTAGTCGCAGGGAGGAAAGGTAATTAAAATGAAATGTGCTTTTGGTGGGAGTGGAAAGGGGAACTTGGTTTTAAATTTTGCGTTTCCACCTTGAATTATCCCTGACGCTTGTGTGCAGGGAGCTGGCTGGTGGCATGAACTCTTGAGCTTGGTGCGGTGTGCTTTCTCTGACAGAGAAGTGTAATAGAAACAAAAGGCAACACTCTATCAGCCATCTGTTGAGCCGGTTCACGGCCAAACCTCTCTGATTCTCTGTACAATCAAGCAAAGCGAATGACAACATCGCACGCCGAGGGAAAGAGATGTTATTAGAAATTGGCCCGAATCAAATGGCTGCATTTACAAACTTCCCTCGATTTAGCCAGTCCATCTCTGCTAAGGAAGAAAAACAGAAGGGTCACCGTTTAAGTTGCAACTATTTAGAAGCAGCAGTCCAAAATGAGCCGGGATAGTTCATTCATTCTGCCTGAAACACCGTTTGTATAAATACACACGCTACCGTTCATGACAGCTACTAAACTGTCACTGACCAAAAAGAAAGACATTTCACACAGGCTTATCCTTCTTTTTGACGGGAATATTTTCCAACTCCCTTTTGACACAGGATATCCCGATGGTTTCTGAAGGATTTAGCCCAGCTGCGTTAGCGCTGAGTGAAAGAATTAAAACAAGGCGCAGATTTAGCCAACATGGGTCTGCAAAACATGGACTAAGGCTTTCGCTGTAAGCAGCGCAGAGAAGGGTTTGAAAATTGAAATCAACAGTAATGGAGAAAGCTGATCTATACTCAAGGTCTGTGGCAAATTCCTTGGATTTATCGGGTAGAGGGTCTGATGCAGTTTTCATACACCTATTCCCATCGGTGCGGACCACTAATAAAGCGGGGGGGGGGGGTGAACAGTTCCTTTCAAACGCACTTGAGGGGGAGGTATCTTCACGTTGTCCCTTGGCTGTTTAGGAGTTGGTTAACGGTGAGGGAAATGGGGCTAACATTCGGCCAAAAACTGGGGAGAATTCTCTCCACAAGGGAACGGGAGAAGGGTTTTAGGAAGAGGCGGAGGGAGGGAGTTACATAAAACTCTATCCAGCATCAGAAGCGAGTCCAAGAGTCAAAGTATATTGTAATGTTAAAAAAAAAGACAAGCCTGGCGGAGCGTTAAGAAGCAGGTTGAGTTGGGGAAATCCCCCCAGCGCAGAGTTCCCAATCAATGGGAGCTGGCAGGCAGAGAGAAAGTTGAGCCCTTACCCAGGTTAACGAAGCTCATGACCATATCGGCATCGTTAAGGAAGTTGGTGTCGTGCAGGCTGGCGAGTGGAGGCCGCTGGGTGCTCAGGCTGGTTCGGTAAGGTACCGAACTCCGGGACCCCCCACGCTCCGGCTCCTGCTCACTCGCCATCGCGTTGTACAGGTCGAGCATGAAGAGCGGGGCGGACGAGCTGTGTTTCCCCACCGAGAAGGGCCTGGGCCGGTGAGGTAAACCCAGGATAGACAGGATCTCCCTCTGGATCTCCCTCCTCTCGTGGTTCCGCAGGCGCCGGTAGATGAAGCTCGAGTGGACGTGCTGATCAGCGAAGTGACCCTGGCCGCTTCCCAGCAACACGGCCCCGATCCACAGCAGCCCCCCCGCCACTTTACACCAAGCTGCCAGCCTGTCCATTGCACTTCTCTCCGGCTGTGCCCACTAACCTACTCTTTCTTGGTGCACCTTCTTCTCCCTGTTACAACTTTCAATAAATCCCCGGTTTTCCTGATGGTCAACTCCCGGGCAGCTCCGGAACTGAACTGTCAACAGTCCCGGGCAGGTAATGTGCTCATGTCGCCGCTCGAACAGTCCGCATTGGTGAGAGTTTTGCTTTAGTTAAAGCTTGCTGGTTAAACCACTGCTGGTTTCGCCGTCCGTTTCCTCCTTTAAGCAGAAATCCTCAGTCTGTAGGTCTTATCCTCTGGGGTCCTGTCTTGGTAGATAAAGTGGAGAAGGGGAACAGCGGGACTGAAAATGCTACAGACGCTGCCTGTCTCTGTGTGTGTGTGTGTGTGTGAGAGTGAGTGAAGCTTTCTCTCTCTCTCTCCCTCCGCCTTTAGCTGGCGCTCTCTCTCTCTCTCCCCATCAGGATATACAGCACATCAGCTGTGATCCCTGCAATCTATCACATCTCAGTTTTTTTTCCTCATTTCACATCCTGTCCAAACCATTTTGTTCATTTTCTTTCGAAAGTGATGCCTGATTTTGCAGTTGTACAGTCAAGCGGAGAAGTGTATCTGATCGGCTAGTGCTTCGGGCTGTTGATCTAAGTGGCATAAACTTTCAGTCGGGTGTTACACGGCCCTGGGTCAGGGGAGGGATGGTGTTGGTGCTTGATGAGACCAGGATTAGACAGACACCAAGCTGGCAAAGGGACTGGGACAGTGTACACGACAGCCGCTGTCGGTACTGACCTTATTCCGCCTAACACCAACCCGCACCACCCACCCCCTCTCCCCGGGCAACCCAGCGAAAACGGTCCGCACTCTCCCATCTGATCCACATCTCTCACCTCGGTAAAGGTGTAATCTCCTGGACACAGTGATGGTTGGGGTGTGGGATGGTCTACTTCTGAAATTGCTTCTAACCATTCCTCCCCATGTGGGAATCTTTGGGATAGGTTCAGAATTAGTGTTCAGGCCGCTTTGAGCTGCGGATCCTGGGCTAACACTTTCGGGCAAGTCAAGAAAAGGACCTCCCGAAACTCTGGAGCCCAGGATAGAATCGAACCCGTTCACATTCACCAGCCAAGCTTCAAATTGCCCCATCCTCCGGGAGGTTCTGTCTACTGTTGGTTGGAGGAAGACTGCCTTTCTTCATTCAACACAGGAGATGCTAATTCAAGGCACGTTTTAAACACCGTTTCCCAAATCAAATAAAAAAAGTTGACAAACGGTCTGCTGCAGGTTATTGCACGAGTGGCTCTTTTTCTCCGTGATAAATATATATGACACTTGGAGGACTGGTCGCGTTGGTAAACCGCTGTTCAGGCCCGTTAGTGAAACCACATCAGGTTAAACACAGGAAGGAATAACCCTGTTGTATAAAGTGAAAGTTTTGGTCAAACTGTCGATTTGCGCTGGGTCACTGGACACTCTGCAAACTCATACTGTTGGAAAACTGAACGACTACCAAAGTACCGTTTTAGGTGCAGATTCACAGCTCCAATGCCACTGTTTTATCAGTCTGAATCTCGGCGGTGAGAGGCATACGGACAATGGAGAAAGAGAGCCGAGTGGAATTTTGATTCAGGTGAGACATCTCTGGTCAGTGTTTTATATCAAGCTGTCCTGGAGATTTGATTTACAAATTGAAAACTGCAAGCTAGTTACAAAGTCTTCTCTGTCAATCGATCGAAATTGTTTTGTTCCAGTTTGGGTATATTTATTTTATCTGTCTGTAGAAGTGGATGGAAGAAACAAAATAAAAGCAGATATGTTTTTGTTTTGAAAAAAGTACAGCGTGTTGCTGATGAAGACTGAGTGTTAATCTGATAATATGATACTGAAGCGAGGAGGAGCTGTTGCTTTTTAAATACCCTTTATCTGCATTCAGTAGCTAGCCAGTATTCAAAGGCATTATTTAGGTGAGTAGGTAGTGAGTTTAAACATGTTATTCCTTCAAACATAGGAGCTTAAAGCTGTAATAGGGGATGAATATTTTATTAAATTCAGAGCTTCATTTGTTAATCTGCTTAATATAACTCCTTATATCAGCTATCTCTCACTGATAAGAATGACTGCCCTCCATAAATCTGAACATGTCTGATTTAAGATCTACAAATGTTATAGCATCAATAGCATTTGCTGTCATGTAGGATGTCTAGTTATGTATTTGTCATTCAAGTCAAGTCTAGTCTGTCGCTTATTTCATCTTAATGTTGTTTGGTCTGAAAACTCTGTGATCTTTCACACTGACTCTACTTCCACCTCGGTCAGTCCAGAGCAATGCTGTCTGCAGGAACTGACATTAATGTTGCATTTCTTCATGTCAGCTTTCGGCACATCCTTAAAGAGGTCCTTCTGTCCTTCTGTGGTATGTTTGCTCTGACTGAGTTAGGAGACTGCTTCCTTTGGAAGCCTGGTATCTGATGTCTGAACTATAGGAGGTATTAGAAGAAGCTGATTGTGGATAGTCATGGCCTCTGCCTGTGGTGCCTGATTATGAAAGGACACTGATGTTTGGTCTATCTGTTCTCTTAATTGATCATTAGGATCTACTACAGGCAGCATTGATGGTATGACTCCCATTCTTTTTGGTACCTCCTGTATGTTTTCCACCATAGTGGTATAAATAACAATTTAGTGACATTTCTAAACTTGAGGTCTAATTATTGTAACAAAACACAGTAAGGATGGCAGGCCAGGTGATGTGTTGCAGCTTTAGGATGTAGGAACTGGTGAACATTGTAAACCAAAGCCACCACATCAATGGTAACTGTCTGCTATCTGAGGAAATCAGCTCTGAGTTAATGAACTGCGGAGGGAGGAGGAGGGGAATATGGGAGGCAGTTACCTGGACATGTTATTTCAGGATGTAGTCATACTGCTTGGACTAGGTACCTCTGGTTTAGCCTGTAGTCTGGGAGTGGAGGGTGTGACTGTAAATAATGGTGTGGGAACCTAAGATTCAAGAACCCAAGGAGATTCAAGTTCTGCAGTTACTCAAAAGGTTTGAGATTCTTGCAGGCTAAGTGGACAAGAGCAGTGTCCATTGAGGAGATGAGCAAACTGACCATGGTATAGGGATCTATTCCAGTGGGGTGGGGGGAGGGATGAGGGGTGGGGGTGGAGTGGGACGTGGGGGCGGAGCGGGACATGGTGTTCAAAGGTGTATAGATTTAATAGAGGGATAGGTGTTGTTCTCTCCATTGTAAAATTTGCATGCTGAAGGCCATGTTGCCTGCTCTGTGCCAGGGTTAAGGGATTGGATAATATAATCATTGCCCCTCGATATTCAGAGGAATTGCTATTGTTAAATCCCTCAGTGTCAACATCATAGGGGTTAGCACGGATATAAACTGAACTGGACTGGACCAAAGATATAAATATTGTGCTTACAGAAACAGGTCAGTAGTTCAGAATTCTATGTGCTATTGAGACGGTGCAAGTCAGGTCTATAATCTCCATTTGCTAATTTAATAAGTTAGCAATCCAGGAAGAAGCAGTCTGCTTGATCAGCACTCCTTCCACCTCCATAAATATTCATTCCCTCTACAATGAATGCACAGTGGCATCAGTGTGTACCATCTATAAGATGCACCGCAGTAACATAGGCTCTTCTGACAGCCCTTTCAATCCCACAACCACTACTATCTAGAAGCACAAGAGCAACAGATACATGACAACATGACCACTTGCTAGGTGCCCTTCAAGCCGCGTACCATCCTGACACATCGCTGTTCCTTCAGTATTGCTGAGTCAGAGTCCTGGAAGACCCTCCCTAACAGCACTCTAGGTGTCACTACACCACATGGCCTTGTCATCGCCACCTTCTCCAGGGTAATTGCAGATGGCCAACAAATGCTGACCTCTGCCAGTGACGCTTGTGTTTTGTGACAGAACAAAAATGGCAGCCAGGGAAACCTGCAACTTGAAAACCCTTCTGCACACTCCACCTTATAGTCCCCAGTTAGTGAGAATGATAGTCAGCCAAGGCTGGAATCAAACCTGAATCCCTGGCAATGTGATGCAGCAGTGCTAACCACTAAGCTACAATGCTTTCTATAATTCCAATCAGGCCATAAAGTTGCAGGCTAGCAATAAACTCTGTTCTCTTGACGTGTGTCATGACACATCCTCAGAGTTGGGTACAGTGTGAGCTATCACCATGAAAACACCATTCAGTGAGTGATTGGTGTGTTTACACAATGCCTCTGCTCTAGGTTGTTCTGAAATAGATTTGCAATCTGTCATATGAGTAGTCATTGAACCTTAGAGTTGGCTGGTTCATGACCCTGACATTTGCCCTCCTATGAAGGATGAATGTTTGCAGTTACTTGGGAAGAAACAAGGTGGGGAAGAGAGGGATAGGCTTCAACAGCAAGAACTCTGAGAAAAGCTCATCGAGGGGCATTTAACCTAACCAAGAGTCCTGCAATCCTGGCCATTATCCGAATTGGACCTTCCTGCAGATTAGCCTCATGGATCTTTCCCCCACTTCATGCAAAAATAAAGACAAACAGCAGATCCAAAACAAAAGAAAATCTGTCAAACGTGTTGGCGCACTATCGACAAAAACAATTTAAGCATGACATTTGTGAAAGCTATTAATTATGGTCCCATCAGCTTGTTTTCCCATGTTTGTTCTCCTATGGTGTGTTTCCTTTGTGGTTATACTTGGAAAGTGGATAGATGTGGAGCTTCAAAGGGATGACCTTTAAAATGACTGAAAACAGAAAAATGCTGAAGATTACAGTGGGTCAGGCAACATCCATGGAGAGAAAGCAAGCTTACGTTTCGAATCTAGATGACTCTTCGTCAGAGTGAACGTGAAGTGTTTGTTGTTTTCATTATCTTGTGTGCCTCCCTTTCATTTCGGGTGCTGAAGGTGTGAAGATACCTCTGCAGTATAAGAAAAGGAGATGTTCAATTATTTCATCTCATTCTTAGAAGCACCAACTTGGATATTGGCTATTTATGCACTTTAAAGGCTATGCTAAATGGGGAGTCTTCACATGGTAAATTGTTGGGCATAATTGTGTAAGAACTAGGGCAGGGGAGACAAGGGCAGAGGAGCCTGGGAGGATAGCAAGGTCACATATTAGATCTTCTGCAGAGTTTGCAGTTCTGATCAGAGTTCCAAGTTTAACAAAGTAATTCAATAGACATATGCCAAGAGATTTTGTGATTCTGGAGAACCCTGTGACTCCGACTTATGTCAGGACTTCATGATGTACCACACAGGACCACCCTATACAGGGAAGTTTGGCCAGCTCCATCAACTCGACAGTAATGTGCACGTACAAACATGGAGCAGCTCC